TACTGGCCAAAACCAAACTTGACCCACGCGATGCTATGACTGCTGAAGAGGTGGCTGATCTCAAGGTCAAGCACAATCGACCAAACTTGGGTAAAAACGGAGATTCGAGGAAGCAGTTCCGGCGAAAGCTGCATGAAACCAAAACAAAGCCGTTCCCTGGAACAATGACTAAACGTCAGGCACTGGAAGCCTTCCTCGACGTAGATGTATGTGGATGTGGAGAAATTGAGCTTTTATTCCTCTAATCACTTTATAAAGAGAATTCTAGTATTTTTGAATTTTCAGCTTATTTGTTTTTCGCCGGCAGTACCTCTTCTCCTGAGGTTAGCCGGGCAGACTAGCTGATTTTATAAGCAGAAACGGTAGGGCTTTACGGTGGCACTGTTTTTAATTGGTAATAAAAGGCTACTTTCATATTTTCAGTAGCGCGAATTTCCGTCTATCAAAATCTTCTTTGATTATGTTAACCATTATGAGTTGCCTTAATAGTTTCCTTGGTCTATAGGCTTGCTTTTCTGTCATTTTTGTACTTTCGCCGTTCACCTTAATTTTTACTTGAGTTAAAAAAATCACAAGCGGCTTTCTTATTGTACAGTTTTTACGCACCTGTACGGCCCCTAATGAGACCCACTTTCTGGTTTCCCTTTGACGACGAATCCAGTAGGACACTTAGACAAGATGGGGGGGGCTTTTTCTATTAGGTGACCTAACAAGAAGATGACTCTGTGACATGCAATCATTAAGTAACAGAAGAAATGCTTACAGATTATCCAATTAGTCTTGCATTCTAACTGAGTCCACATTATAAGAAAAATAAATTCGCCGGAATTTTGCTCCTTTTTAATCAAGTTGACCAATCTTAACATTATCTACCTAGCGGGTGTTATATTTCATATCTGCTAACCTCCTATCAGTCTTGTTCTGATCACTGAGAAAAAAAAGTCTTATATTTCGTCCCTAACAATCTGATTATTTAAGTGGTTGATTCGCATTTACGTAGAATTTCACCTAGCTGTTGCTGACGCTTTGTCCCGTCTCGAGGTCAACACTCTTACCCCCACGTTCAACCTGACGAAGCTAGCAGATGCTCAGGCGCCTGATGACTCCATCATTGAAATACGTGCGTCTTCTTCGCTACAGCTGCGTGAGGCTCCCCCCCCAGCATCGCCCGGGACGATCGTGTGGGACTGGTCTACATGTACTCTTCGTCCTGTTGTACCACAGTCTTATCGTAAGTGTTGGGATTATTCCTAACAAGCGGCCCGAGCGAACTGTCAGGTCACGTTATCAGCCCCCTCCCTACAGGTAAGGAACAAAGGACAAAGGCCACACAAGCTTGCGGATAAAGCCATGCGCGCACCCCTGCGAGGTTACCCGATGCAGAGGACGAACGCACGCGTGAGATGGCCAATCGAGCCCCTATGCGAATAAGGGCACAATCTGATTGGTCGCTTCTAAACTATCCCATTTCATATAGTCCCCGTCAAGGGACGCAATAAACGACTTCCTTTCGCTCACGACCTTGTTCGTTGTTCTCTCTGCTGAACTAACACAAAAAGACTGGGCGGCACAAATAATAGCTTGGGGAAGCCATTACAACAATTGGCGACGCAGGTGAGGTCATTTTCGATCACTTCCATTCGTTGTCTCACCCCGGCGTTCGTGCCGGCTGCAGGCCTGTTTCGGCTTGTTCCGTATGGCCTAAGATGAACGCCGACATAGCGCTTTGGATTAAGCAGTGCTTGGCCTCCCAAAAGAATAAAGTCCGGCGTCATAACATTTCCCTCCCAAGCACGTTCGCGGTTTTCGACGCCTGTTTCCACCACGTCCACTTGGACTTAGTCGGACAGTTACCTCCATCGCGCGGTTTCGCGCATATTCTGACCAATTTCGATCGTTTCACACGATGGCCCATTGCCATTCCCATTTTGGGTACCTCGGCAAAGAATATTGCCCTGGTTTTCCTTACGCACTGGATAACTAATTTCGGTGTTCCAGCTAACCTCACCACTGACCGCGGAAGTCATTTTACATCGACACTCTTCCGTGGGTTCGCTAAACTGCTCGGGTGCGCGCACATCGCCACCAATCATCTAACGGCCTCGTGGAGCGACTCCA